CAAAACATCGTCCTGAACTCCCACGAAACCTTTCCTCAACAGATCGTCTTCAATCATTTTGGTACCCCATAGGTCCAGGTACCTCCTGAACATGGTCTTGCAGGTGAAAGTACTTCCACAGAATGGTCTTTGGGGTCAAAGGACGTCCTCAGCATGGTCCTGAACCCTTTGGGTATCTTTGGGTACTCATTTCTGAGCATTCTCCAAGGATTGGCTCACAACTCGATTTAAGAGGACCTCCTTTATCCCTGAATTCTGCTCGAATCCTTCACAAGCACAAAACTCTCCGCTGAGACTTAGACGAGCGAGGTGCTTCATCACGGTCTGCGACCGTCAGCGGAGCTCATGCGAAGGGAACATCGAGTAGACAATCGATACACTTCTTGAAAGAATCATGGAAGTGGATGGCATGGCCCCTGGATAACCATTGTCGAATACCAAACAGGTGGTTTTCCGCTTACATGATGTGAGCTACGACCAACACTTATTAGGATGGTTAAACCACTCAACCATCCATCACTGGGGGGTGTCATGGTCGTAGAGCCCCTGTGGATCCGGACCAAGAGCTAGAAGCTCTTTAACATGTTCAAACCCATGAGGGTGGCAGGTTTTTGGCATCAGGGGAAATCAGGAAGAAACGCAGGGGCCACCCCCCATCAAGACCCCAAATGGGAGACCCTAGAGCCCTCCAGAACGCCTTCCGAAAACGAAAAGGCATCTCCCAAACGGTGGCCGCCTTCCGTGCGGTGCTGAGTTCCGACCGTCGGGTCTCTCCAGCCTCCGTCTCTGATCCAGCCCTGACCATGTTCTTTGCCTTGCCAACCTGACGTGGTAGAGGTAGTGAGCACGGCTTACATATACATATATATATATATCCAAACAAGTAGTACTTAGTACTCAATAAGCAACAAATGGGCATCACACCTGAGAAGGGACTGGACCACTCTTTCGTATCGTTGTTCAGTGGTTGTTGTATTGTATTTGTTGTGTTCATAATCGCGAGTTCCCACCACTTCTTTTTGAATCCTATACCACGTTTTTAGATCCCCAAATACATGAATACGATTGTTTTGTCTTTCCGCTGAAAGCGGATCCGGATCATTCCGGCCCTGGCGTGAACCAGCGAAGCGTGAACACGTCAGCTCTATGAATACGATTGGATGATACAAATATCATCCACATGTCCAGAATATGTTCATACTATCTAATGTAGTATTCTAAATGTAGTAGATTGATATCAGTATTGATATCATTATCTAATTCCTATTTCCATAACCCAATGAAGCAAAATGGTGTTATCTGAGGACAGCACGTGTATGGCCTCCTTTCTGGAAGTTCCACCCTCCACACCTGAATCTGGAGTGGCACAAAACCCGGAACCTTCTACGTAGTCGTAGCTCTCAATGCCTTCACAGCCCATGTCCCTCCCATCCGGAACATGAATTCAGCTGAGACCTCCGACCGCCTGGGCTTCTGCCAAGGCTTTGGCTTTGGCTTCCGCTTCTTCTTCGGCCATTTGCTGTGCTGCTTGGTGGGCCAGCACCAAGGCGGAGGCCTGGGCCGAGACCGAAACCGTTCATGTCAGCCCACAGAAGGCTCGGTGCTTCGAGGACGTTCGCAGTCAAAGCATCGGTAGATTGTTCATTCAAAGCTGCCACGGTTGAAGCGAAAACAACCTGTCCAGGGGCGGACCATCGGGCGGACCATCTCCGGATCAGCCATCCAAAACGGGGGCTGCATACTGCACTTTGGACTGGACCATGAAAGCTTCCAGCATGCTGTGGGCCACAAAGGAGTATATTGTAAAAGAGAGGTCAACACCCAATCAAGACCTCCGAATAGAAAAACAAAAAACATAGCAATAATGAACATCTCTCAGCCAAAACTTGACATGATCCAACCAGGAGGTTCTGAACGATTATCTGATCTTTCAGAACCTCCTGGTTGGACCATATGATTCTCTCCCAGACTTGGTTCAAGGGCAACCCATGGTTCTCACCCACCAAACGATTGGTTTCCTGTAGATATTCCCTTTGCCGCCCTTCAACCAATTCCGGGATCCTCCACCCCCAACTGGAAATTCCGCTTCGGTGTTTTCTGGGTCGCTAAAGATCCTCATCCTCCCTCCCCAACGACCCCGATCCTTCGACGCACCTTGGCAGCCTCCTCAGCCAACGCTTTGGCCGTCGCTTTGGCCTTCAGTTCGGCACTCAACTTGGCCTTCGCCTTTGGAGATGGATTTGGTGGCGGCCCATCGTGTCGAATGAATGAATATCTTCCGCGGTGCCGTGGCGTTTTCCGAAGAAGTCGTGGTGCCACCTTTTTGGAGACCCCCACGTTCCATGTGTGGGCAGGATTCTCAATGGGGAGGGGCTGTTGGTTCTCAGTTGTTCTGAGTGACTTTGAAGGAAAAGCATGAGATTCCTGCAGTTTAATCACACAACTATTGGAGACCCATTGGTGGCTCATGAGGGTGCTCAAGCTCCAGCATGTTCTTGTCAAGATACGCAACAAAAACCGTTTGCAGTGCAGTCATGGACTTCAGGGATCGGATGCTCTTGAGATCTTCAGGTTGATCGCAGACAGGGTACCACCCTGCAGCACATGGACCCATGATACCCCATTTATATAAGACGATTCTCATCATTTCTGATCTATTAGCCAGGGCCCAGGAGGTATCAGGCTCCACAGTTCTGCCCAAGCAGGTTTCAGTTCAACATCGGAACATACCAGACGTTTTTCCCTCCGGGAAAATCGAGGAAAGTGCCTGATCGAACCCAGCACCATCAGTCAAATCGTTGGGATAAACAGATTCACATAGATTCACCTTTGTCCAAACAACCTCATCCTTGGCGAATCCCAAAGGTGAAAAGAACACAGTGCAGGCCTCTTGTCGTGTCAACACCAGGTAAAACAAACCAAAGAGGTTTCCCAGTTCTGCTTGGGCTTCCAAGTTTTGATTGCAACCATCCAAAGAGGATGTCAAGCATCGTCCTACAGCCGCTTCGACGGCGGCAGCCCAAGCCTTTGCTTCCGCCATGGCCTTTGCCATGACCTTCGGCTTGTGCTCGAGTTGGAAAACACAACTTGCCCCAAACTGCTTAGTTTGAACTTTGAACCCACTAGAATCACTAGAAGAACATTTGTGATTGAGATTCATTCCGCCAGGTTGAAGGTTCGACATATTTCACACCACCAACCAGCACAGGTCAGCCCGGCGTGGGGAACTTGAAACTTTCCAAATTCCAAGGATTGATCACCCCTACAGCTCCTGCAACTACCTCCGTTTCGGAGAAGGTGGTTGGGCTGGATGGTCAACAGGGGGTCTCTTCCTACCTTCTGAGGCTATGGGGCAGGAGCTCCAGGGGAAAGCACTGACTTTCACCCTTTTACATTGGCAACTTGACCCTGGCACAGCCGGAATCTCCGAAAGGACAGAACTGACATGAACATACATGAACTGACTGAAGGAATCCAAAGGAAAGATCCGAAACAGCACATGAGGATCAATGATCAACCGATCAACCTGTATAGTTTAAAGTCTGTCCAATGGAAGATTAGGATCAAACCTGGAGCCGTGTAGAACCTGGCGCCTGAATGAGAAGCTCATCAAACTTGAAGCATCTTGAATCTATGTGCAATGATCGGAGCCAGTTTGGTGAGACAATCAGATTGGCCGCCAGGTATGTCTAGCGAATGAATATGTGTAACGTTGGCATGTGATGATGCTTCGAGATCGGGAAAAATCATTGGACCATTGCCCCGGGCCCATATAGCCAATTCAACAACAACATGGACTCTGCAAGAGCTCCAGAAGCTCTTAGAGTCTTAGCCCATCGATTCAGGTACAGTTGATGGGAAATTGCTTTTGAAGATCCTGCGCCACCCATGCTGTCCACGGTCCCCCTTGCATGCTGGCCATGCCAGTCATCACGTCTTCAAGCGACGGAAACGGAAACCGGTCACCAATGCTTCAACCTCCAATTCAGATTCCAAGCGACCTACGCTACTTGGGGATCTCCATTGCACACCCAGGACGGATGGACTCCAGTGAATCTACCTCATTGCACACCGGCCCTCACTTGGGTGTGTATCTCAAGAGGGTTTCCCCTCCCAATGGATGTTGATCGATTTTCCTTCTTCCAGGGGGATCGGAACGCCCGACAGGTCTCCCTTCTTCGGCCTTCACCCCGGTTCACGCTCACGCCGCGTGTGGGCCTTCTCCTCAAGGCCTTTGGCGGCATTAGCTTTCGCCTCCTCCGTAGCCCGACGCGTCGCCTACGGAGGGCGAGGTCTTTGGGCGGCTCAGGACACTGTTCGGTCAAACAGACTTGATCAGCCACATCGGGGTTAAAAGTTATAGATGATTGGTAATTTTGTTATATTGAAGGTGCTAGGGGAAGCCAATCTCCCTGCGACAAGGTTCAACCCTTCAGCCATCCAATCACCTGGGTCCGGCTTCACTCCATCCCATTCACCATGGTCTTCTCTTGTGCGCCAATCAAAAGGAGAGGAAAGTATATTGATCAAAAGCTTGTGAAAACATTGACATAGACACAACATACATCTCGTGTTCCTGAAGAACCTAAAGCCACAGCCAACCCATTTGTTGAACTATTTGTGGTTTCGTGGTTCTGACTACAAGGACAATAACAATAAACGCTATACTCAATATGAATATAATCCAGCTTGCAGTTGCTGACCAGTCTATCACCCAATGACGAACAGCAAAGAAGCTCCGGGTGTCCAAATGGGTCTGATTGGGTCCTTTTCTGACCACTCCCAGCGCAGCTCGGTCTGTGACGATCAGCGTCTTAAGACGATCAGACCGACCACTCCCAAACTCCCAGCTGCCACGGTCTGTGACGTTTGAGTTCATCCAACCTCATCTTTGGCAGCTTTCATCGCCTCGAGGTGAGAAAACCGCTAGACCGACGGGCCCGGGCTTGTGAGAGTATAGTGAGAACTGCTCGTGCCGGTGCCGAGGGAAGCAAGCAAATGATGTTTACATAACGATTGGTCATCTATATCTGGAGTCTTACCGTATCTCAGAAAATGGGTACAAGTACCCGTTTTAAGTAATTGGTCATGTCCGATGCTCTAAGATTTCTAAGGTACTTTGGAGGGCCCAGCTATTTCTTTGGACTTTACTATCTTTCATGATAGGAAGCTTCCGTGCTCGGGTACTCCTGAAGTCGGAGAAGTCCCATGGCATCACAGTAACATCAGCCATCATGTTTAGATCTTTCACCAGTCATGTCTCCATCAAACGCGACCATCTAGAAGTTGGATTGGCAGGTATCGGAACCCATCGGAATCACCAAAATCCCATCAAAAGACACAAACGCACGCATGGGCCTATGTACATCACCCATGACCTACTGTACCACCCGCCTCCCCACCACAGCAAGAAGTGGGTGTGTCTCTTGGAATAGGAAGACCCATCAACCAAATCCAACGGCTTCTGGTCCAAGTTCCTCCTTCGTGGGTCCACCTCTTCCAGGTGGGTCCACCTCTTCCAGGTGGGTCCAACGGTTGACCTGTTTTAGTATGTTTAATACATCCAAGGTGGCATAGCCATCACCCATCCCTCTCTCCCAAAGCACTGCTGCCTCCAATTGGGCGGCTCGCAGGGCCTTTTCAGGTGCTTGGCGATGCACCTGAGGTCGGGACAAGGAAAAAGCAGGAAGTCGTCCACCAAAAAAAACATGTGTTTGTATTTGCATAATAAGTTTTTCAGTCAAATATACAATATTCATGATCACAATACATCATATGTGCAACAGAAACAGTCCTCAAAATGTGTGTCCACATCTACAGAACCTTGATGACTTGATGAGAAAACATAACTGAATTGTTTTTGTCCGCACACATGTTTCTCCCACGTCTGCTGGGATTGGCAATGCATGGAAACGTTGACCAGGACTATCCTATCTGGGCGACTGTACTACACTATTTAGGGATCTCCAAACAGACATCCATGGGTTATATGTTATGTCATGTGATTTCCTTATGATGTTTCCATGGATTTTAATGACTATGACTATATCATATCTTGCATTTGTCTTTTCATTGCAATGATTGATCCACAAACATATCAATTAATTAACATTTTTTGTGGATCAAGAACTCTATAATTATTATGTTACTCTTTACCTCCATTTTTCCAGGAAACATGGTTGATCATAATCTTATATAATCTTACTGGATCCCGAACTGGGTGGTGCTGGAGAAGCTGGAGAACCGATCTGACCTGATGTCAATCCATCCGTGCACCATCGAGACCTGTTGACCCGTGACCCGAATTGAATTCGCTCGGTTCCCGAACGACTCGGTGTTCCCAAACCGGTGAATGCGGCTTGGAGTCGGTGCTTTGGAGAGTCCCCGGTCTAAGACCCTCCGGAAGCATGAAGCATCTTGAAGTATCTTCCAGCAGTCACAAAGGGGTGCTATCCATGGAGGTTTGGGGTGCCCATTATCCATTCACTTAGGGACTAAAAACCCATCCCTTTGTGACTCCTGGTTGAAACATCTTATCTACACACTGCGCGTAGATCCGGTCACACTGCGCAAAGCATCGAATTCAAATTGCCAGGAAAGGGCCATTTCTGATCGGCAGGCTTTCCACTTCCATTTTGCAACTCCTAGGCCCGTCGCCTCAGCTGTGGCCATCTGGAAGGCTTCAGCGGACGCCGCCGCCTCGTTGGAAAGAATTGGCGGTCAACTCGGTATCCAAAAGGATATCCTGTCTACTGGCTATAGTTGATGCTCTCAGTTGAGGTAGAGTTTTGTTGGACTTGGGGTTTCTTGATCCCAACAAAAAGAACTCATTGTTGAGAGGTCTCAGCCTTAGCCGTCTTGGTCCCATGTTCCCAAATAGCTCCAAGTAAAGGCAAACATGACAAGTCTATGATTGGTTTCCACACCCAACAATCGAAGTCCTCTGCAGCTGAACCCTGGACTGAGCTGCCCCATGAGTTGTTACCAACTGCTTCTGCTTCCGCTTCGAAGCTTCGCGGCACGAAGTCAGTGGGGGCGATGGAACCCGCGAACCCGCGTACGTCCTCGCTGGGGGCGGGTGGGTTGGAAATCGAAGCTGGAGGCGGCCTCCAGCTGATGCTTTTGGCCCAGGGTGCTCTTCACTGCATCATCCAAGGCCAAGTTCTTGAGCTCCACGGAGTGCTCCTGTCGCCATCCGATTCGGTCAGTCTTCGTTCGACTCATGGAGCGACGGTCGCTTGCGGCCCCGGTCAAGGCAAGGCATGAGGATAGAGGGTCCTCAATGGAGGATGGAGCTGATGGAAATAGGACGGGCCCAAAAATGGAAAACTTGACATAGAACAATGACATACACATGTTTATGCCAAGTACATTACTAGCCCGGTTTGCAAACAGTGAGCTAGTAATGAGATTGCAGCCGCTGCCACATGGTGTTTAAGGAACTTGTAACAAACTGATCACCCACCAAGTCCAGTCATCCAAATTTCAAAGTACAGCAATTGTAGTGACAAACCTGAGAAACGACATGCTCCGGTGTCGTAGTTTCGGAGTACAGTTCAAATGAGCCTTGCAGGGTGAATGGTTTTGTTTACGCTCATGGGTTTTTGGATGTTCTTGGATGTTTAGTTTTTTGTAGTTTACTTTTCTCCGGTCTTTAAAATTGTTAAGCAAACAAACACATTCTTCAACAGGGAGACCTCTTTTCCCAGTGGGCTTTCGCCAGTCCGGTCCGGAATACAGTCCAGAACATGGCTCCAAACTGATGGGTTTGAAGGGGCCATCCGAGCCCATGATCTTTAAGTTGGGTTTGTGATAGGAATGTCCAAAGCCTTCTGCCTTCTCCAGTCAGGTGCCAATTTAGGAAGGGCGGATGCTATGTAGTTGCCCTTGCGCAAACCATCCAGTGCACTGTATGTTAAGATGAGATTTTTGATGGTTTTTATCATTTGCTGTGAAGCACAGGTCAACTCAAGGCCTACCTGCGTTGAGGTCGGTGCTTGGGGCATGGCTGGGCGAATTGCTGGGGTGGAGTCGAAGGAACCCGGCTTCTTGGAGTCGTTTTGTGTGTTGTTTTTCTAAGAAACTGTGAAGCACTCAAAATAACATATTCTGCAGGTTTGGGCATTCAGTTCGGAAAAATAAGAATCCCGATCTGCAACAAACCAAGGATCTCCTGTACTGTGTTGCTTGCGTTCCAAGATGTTTCAATCACATGCGCATGCACAATCCTTGGCGTAGGACTGAATCTCGTTCATCAAGTCTTCTTGGACTTGCTTCTTTGCAGCCTTCACAGTGCACAGCATCACGTCGCACAGGGAACACTTATATACACTGTTGATCACCTCTGCAACTCCCCACACCATCAAATTGTCGAGGTCACTGCTAGTGCCTGGTGTGTCTATAGCTGCAGGTGTTACAGTCCAAATGGGCTGGCTTAAATATACTCCGGAGTCTTCATTGCTCAAACACGCACGATGTCAGAAGCACTGCAGTGTCTTCATATACCCGGCCTTCTTCTCACCACCCACACGTTCTAAGTCGAACAAATGCAGCTCAGCTTCACGCCTGCTTGGCTGCATCGAGGGCCAAACCAGCGGCCTTCTCCTTCGCCTTTGCAAAGGCTTCACTGTGCGCCTGTGAGCAACCCGAGCGGAGCAGCAGCGAGCGATGTGATCTTGATGTCCAGTCTCGCAGAAACAGGTATACTATAGTGAAACCAGGTAGTGAAGTAGAGAGCAATGTTTTTGCCACAAAAAAGGAAACACCCAAAAAGGGTCCGAAAAGGAGAGCCCGGTAGCCCGGTAGATCCCAGAATTGGTGAAAGGTACATGTTACAGGGACCCGCAGCTTTGGGGGTGAAGACAATAGCTTCCTGTATATGTTCCCTTCAATTATATAATCCATTGAGTAGAGTATCTGCATTTCCAAACTGGAATATATACTGTAGCTGTTGTATCACCCTACCCTTTTCCAATCGGCATCACAGTCTATACAGGGTATCGTTCAGGGATGTTCAGGGTATCATTTTTGGGGTGTCCCCCATCGTTTTCCATGCGACATAGAAATGCATAGGGTTGAACATGAAATATCAAATATATAGGGTTAACTTAACGGTATTTGTGGAAGGTTGCATGGTTCTTTTTCGCAGACACGGTTTGCCAATCGATCAGTGGACTTGGGGAAGGAATCCAGCCAAGCTGGCACGACATGTGTCTTGGCCGAAAGGTGTCCTAAACATCCAGGGCTGTGGACATGTGGCTGTCCTCAATCTTTCAGCTAGTCACGAAGGAAGGAAGGTCGAATCCACCTCCCGATGGTATGGGCTTCAGAGTTATATATAGTATGTTTTGTCAAGCTGCTTGACGATGTATATATAGACGGCTTAAAGCATGCAGAAGACAAACACGAGAGTCAATGAATCTGTTTGCTGGAATGGCCCATTCCATGGCCGTCTGCACCACCTGAACGGAAAGCTTTCTCCGTGCTATTGGCAGGGTCTGCATGTAAAATGTGAGGTTTAAGGTTTAAACTATTGTATTTTTACATCAAGAGTAGTTCAATGCGTCATCCGATTGTGCACCTGGTTGTAGACGGCCATCGCAAAGGGAACTCCAGTCTGCTGGAGAGCCTCTGGGCCCAACAAGCTTCGGGCCTCCGCGCTTGGCAAGAGCCAGCATGCTGCGAGACATAGGATGGGCCTACGGACCATTGAACCAATCGGATACACAAGGTCTCTTTTCCCTGCAGGTTCCGGTCTTCTGTCTCCGTGATGGGTTTTTCAGACGCCGGCTTCGAGCCTAAGCAGAAAACCGTCAACCCCAAGCAAAAGCCCTCAACCATCACTTGGCTGGCGGCGGTCCCGCCGCTTCTCACGAGTCTGGCAGTTTATCTTGGATCCTGCAAGCCCTTCCTGTTCAAGGCAGAACTTCTTCACCACCCAGAGAGTAATCATTATATAGACCATTAACGACCCAACTAGATAGAACAGCAGATCCCCACTAAAAATGTGTTGGAAACCGTTGCTATCTATTTGGGGACCTGCCCACTATCATACAAAGACACTGCGTTGCTGTCCACATCTGGCACACCGACTGGTCCCACATCCAAACAAATCCAACAAGCAGGTGAGCACCTTTCTGCTGCACTCAAGGAAGCTGTTCTCATGCTCTCCTCCCCCAAGTTCCGCACCCGGCGAGGTTCCCCCGTGCCTTGCGGGCGGAGATGCATGCCTTGGACTCGACCAATGACTGCGCTGTGGCCGAGGCCTGGCGTTTTTGCGCCACCAACGGCCGCTCCGGGAGTTCCAGGTGAATGGCAGGTGATGTTAAAGTCGATGTGTTGTCAAGGCTCAAGTCACCCAACAAGTCTCAAGTCACCCAACAAAGCAATGACTTAGGAGCCAAAAAGCGACTCAGCAGGGACTATGATGTTTGGTGACTTGCTTAGGAGCCAAGAATGTTTGAATAGGTAATGACTGATGATTATGAGACAAGAGTCCTTCAGGAGGGCATCCTTGCCTGCATATGCCTGCTTCTACAGCTTACAGCTACGGATGAAGAACAAGGATTTTTGGATGTTCATTAGACGCACTGAAGAACACATGACCTGATGACTGGGGGTCACCCCAAAAAGAGAAATCTCTATATATATATATAATTATATATAAGTATATCTATACTGTAAATGTGCTTGCTTATATAGTTTAATTGGATCATGAACATAATCGAGCTGAGCAAACTATCTATTTATTGATCTATCATCTATCGAACATGAACAAATCACTTCGGTGAGAGCATGCTGCACACTCTTCATGTCCAGCCTCGAAGAGCTTCTTGAGCTTGCCCAGGCCTTCAGAGCCCACATTCATCTTCCTCAGTTCGTTGGAATCTGCTGGATAAAGAAACATATGTTCCAACATGCCAGGAGTTTTGGACTCATACGATCCCTGTGTAGAGGGATAGTGTTCATTAGAACGTTGGCCGCCCGTATCTCATGAACTAGTCAGCGTCCGAAGTCAGCCAAACCTTAGCCCCCAAGTCAGCCCGCTGACCTTTTTGGTCAGCGAAGTCAGCCAGTGCAGCACTGTCCCGGGTCCACCAGGTCCATCGTTGATCCCGGCAACCGGAGAAACCAAACATCGAGCAAGGGAATCTCCGGCGCGGAACATGGAGGAGACTCCAAGCACTGTCGCAATTCCTATCATGTTCTATGACCTGCTAGGGTACCAACATGCTTGTCTATCAAGGCTCTTCGTCACCGTCTTAGAGTCTTCCGCAGTGGCGCTGGCTGTGCGGTTGGCCTCCGCATCACTTTGGCCTGTATGGGGGATGCGGGAGCTGGGTGGGGCTTTGTCAGGGAGAAGAATCAGGCCGGTGAGGTTGGACGGAGGGATTTTTCAGGCTTGGACAGCCGGCCTAAGTAGAAACTCTTCTTGGGCAGAATATGGCAGAATTGTCTGCCTAGTCTGGGAACTGATGGCCTAATGAAGATCTACTGCGCATGGAATCTTGTCGCAGAGCCCTTCCAGTGCCTACAGCTTTCCACATGGCGCTGTATATCCTCTTTTTCAGGCGGTGATGGAGGCTCGTTCCCAAACTGGGGTGCAATTAGAAGTATTTGCTGACATTGCATTGGGGGGTCTGTGTTGGTTTCAGTGTATGCAAGCTTCTTCCAGTGGCGGCCCTTGATCACAACGCCTGAATAATGCCAACCCAACCCCCCCTTGAATTCGAACATCTTTTCATTTGGGAATGGGCAGAGTTGGCCCCCTTCCTCTTGCGATTCAGAATCAACCAGGTGGGGGCCGACCCAAACCATAGACTTTCTCCAATCCTCTCAGTCTTTTGTTCATCAAGAGTCAAGAACTACTGATCTCATATGATCTCGTTTGATGTGGTTATATAAGTCAGGATTTGTCCTTCATGTTCCTATTTGTGTCATGATAAACATCCACACCTACTGTTCGCTCCCTCTCTCCACCTCGCCGCACCATCGACTGGGTCGTCTCCGTCGAACCGGTGGCGACCGGTCACCGCGCGATCCCGGACGGAGCACCGGATCCGGTCTGCGAGAGCTTCACCGTCACACCTGGCGTTTCGGCGGAGGATCGGGTCAATCCGGTCGTCGATCGGAAAACGCAAAAAACGGTTCCGCGCTGCAGTCGGTTGACTCAGTAGCAAGGGGTTCGACTTCGAACGGTTTAAGGGCAGGCGGCTTCATGATGCTCATGGTGCTTCAGGAAAACGAAACCGAAAACAACAATGCACATAATCAGTTTGTACTTCGACCAACCCTTTCAAGAACTATAAGTGACCTTAGCCACTGGGATCTCAAGTTTGACCCTCGAGAGCAACTCTCAAACAGTGTGTAGGTCATACCGCACGATGCTAGTCACTGTATATGTGTTGTGTATCAGCATATAACATATAGTGTTTTTGATCGAACACTTACTAAGAATACAGGTGTCTAAGCTTGTTGGTTCTGAGTTTTGTGTCCAAGATTTCTTCAATGAAAGCTCCTTTTTTTAGAAGAAAGGAAGGCAACTTGGAGGATTTGATCCTTTGGAACTGCTCACCTGAAATCAGGCCACTCGCTCGAAGCTTCTCAAAGGCCTCTTGAGCTGGCTCCTATATCATGTAATGTCTTCATCTATTTACTTCGGAGTCGACCTCCGTTCGCCCGCCCACCGCCTTCGCTGGCGATGGCCTTGGCAGACCTGCAGAACATTCCCCGGCGGTTTTGACCGCCACAGGGGGGACCAAGGCTTGATCCGGCCATCGGGCGATCGGTCGGTCTTTTTGGGGGATGGTCTTAAACATGGATTTGAGTCTGTGAGGTCCACAATCCTAGGACTTGAGGCTGAAACATCTAGGAACCAAATCATTAGCGAGCGCGATCGATCAGGGAAGCTTCCCCCGCCGCGTGAGCTATCCTGCGTACTCGTAGCTTGTAGGTACTAGCTACCTCTTCTACTAGCTGCTACTAGCTATCTCTACTACCCCCCCTTAAAAAACACACACACACACACACTCGGTAGTAGGGCCTGGTCGCGCTGGCGCGGCGGGTGGCGCTGGCTGTGGCCTTTTGGACACTGATGGCATGGGCTTCCTCGGGCTGATGGCGAGCTTAAAAGAACCCAAAACGGTGCTCCCGCCGAGCGGCAATTGTTGGAGGTGTGATCAACAAAAGCGAGAGGATAGGAAACTCGTTTGCATTCCAAAGTAAGCATTCTGATTGGAAGATTCATTTAAAAAAATCCTGGGTGAGGTGAGCTTTCTGATTCAGGACATGACCATTTGGTCGCCCTTACCTGGGAAGCGTGGTTGCCGTCCCACAGCGAGGTTGATAGCAAACCGGTGGAGAGGAGAGGGGAGGTACTGCCGTCCCTTGTTGCGGTGCACAGGTGAGCCGAATCTGGGTGTTTTGGGAAACAAATCCTGGGACATGAATCAGCCGTATCTGAGTGGGACAGGTTCATCTGGAAGGCAAGAATACCATCAAATGGATAGCATGATAGCATGGCTAAAAGAACCACAAGCAGCGCTTGCTGAAGCAATGTCAATCGGCAATCGTCATAGCTGCATAATTACATCAGGCCGCTGATTAAATTTCCATCAGGCCGCTGAAACAACAAGCATGCCAGAAACAACGTGTTAAGTTGCTTATCTCTGGTCTTTAACCCCAAGCAAAACCCAAGCAACTTCACAAAACAAAGCGTGCCACCAAGGCACAATCTTGATCTTCGCCTTGGTGATGATGTCATCATTCTCTTTCACGGGAGATCCCGCCGCCGCGGTGGCCGTGGCCTGGGTCCAAGCGCTGGGGATCCGGTACCTTGACCTCCCTGTGGTCAACCAGGTTTGGACCCAAAGGCATATATCTTGTAGTAAGGGAAGGAGAGTGTCCCAAGGGGTGGGCCTATGCTCACGGTGCTCAATGGCTAGACAGTTTGAAATCATCTATGCCGGGAGTTCCAAGTTGGAGTGGACTGGGTTCCACATGGTTCCACATCCTGTGCCACTAATGGTATTCAAACGCCACCAACGAAGAAGCAGCATGGCTGCCGTCACATGGTCTTTATGACGGCTCGCTTGAGCCTTGAGCCAAGAACCTGACAATCTGATTGTTCATAAACACCAATTGAACTACCCACCCGCAATCACTATCACAACCCCTTCGTCCAAAAAGTCACCACCAGCTGTCACGACATGTCAAGTACAAAGGAGGGCCGGAGGTGAAAACCTCACGTCTCCCATGCAAATCAAAACCTAACCAGTTGCGCTGCGTTAAAGAGTTTGAACATAATGCAACAAACTTTATATTATACCCCAAAGAGGGCGGGCTATGTACCCTCGTAGCCTCTACTTATATATCTCTACTTGATATGAAGGTGAGTCAATGCTCCCAAGAAGATTGTACAGTATTCGTTTAGAAACAGGAATGCGGTTCAAAGCGTTTCCATCTATTTTTAACCAGACGTGCCTCTTCTACGTGAAAAGGTACCAGGACCTTCCAACAGGAGGCTTTTGGACACACTTAAACCTCTAAGAGACTATTTATAGACACCCTTGGAAGGTCCTGGTAAGAATCTATATATAAATCCCCCTGTACATAACGGGGTGACCTTGGACACCCAATTCTATAGCTATAAAAGTGGGGACGCGGAGTTTGGTGTTACAAAATGCTAGGACCTGGAACAAAAAGGTATCTATAAAATGAAGATATCTCTAGTGATGATAGAAATGGGGAGTCTGTTTCAAGTCAAGCTGAAATTGCTCTAGAGAATGCCTGGCCCAACCCTCAACCTCTCAACAAATAAAAAATACAAAACACTGAAAAACATTTTGTAGTGCACTCGTCTTGGATCATGAACATATAGGGTCAGCTGATCCAAAAGGATCTTTGCCGGATGCAGCCATTGTTCACCAAAAAGTGCTTCCACTACAAAATGACTATCGTTCAAAAAGGCACCTCTACAAAATGACAGCGTGCAACCTTGCTCTTTGCAACACACTTGAAATGGCTTCCACTACAAAATGGATTTGGTATGACTTGGATCCAAGCAAGGCTCCACTATAAAATGTCCGCCCAAGCAAATGATGTCATCATGTTCATGCCAAAAATTGTCACTACAAAATGATGGTGGCTGGTGACATTTGTTCAATGTCTCTGAGCGAAACACTTAAATCACTACAACATGCAAGCACACGAGGTCATCATGGGACACGATTTTTATATAAAAAACTGATTTATATAGGGGCTCGAGCACTCCCATTCTGTAGTGGAAATGCACTGGGGGATATATATAACTAGACTAGTTGTGTTCTTTTTTCCGAGGCTTTTCCATCAATTCCGTCAGTTCATCCGCCTGGTAGCTGGCGGTGACCTGGTCCGTGGCCTCAGCAAAGGCCTCAGCACTCCCACGGATGAACGGAGACGGGGGAGGACGAGTGGAGGGGCCAGGAACAATAATGGGGCAAAGACGTGCGTGATTACCCCAGCTGTGGTTCAAAACTTTCAAAACCAGGATATGGTTGACCTAGCTGGAAGGTTTTTGTCGAAGCTACATGGGGTTGGGGATGCTTGGGGCTGCAGGTTTTGACCGATCCCCAAGGATGATGCCTTGGATTTGAGAGGACAAGGGCCAAAACACAAGGGATGATTATGGGTGGTTGGTGGTTTGTTGGTCAGTTCAGGTTCTAGGCCGGATGTTGATCCAACTGGCTTGCCAGCTCTTGACGTCCAGCTCAAGCACCTTCTTGGACCGGGCGGACTTGCGTGCTTTGGGCTACCAGGCTACCCACCTGGTCTACAAGAGGTGAAGGTACCGGATGAAGATTCCGAGTTGAACACATTCTGCCGCGAAGTAATCGATGACATAGACTCACACTGGTGGTCTTTCTGGTTCTTCCTGTCAGATCAACAACCTTTGTTGGTCTCGAAACGAAAATACCAAGCGCCAATCGGTCATACTCTGCCGTTGTCGGTCCAAGGCTCCGTGTAGTTGGCCTCTGCCGTGGCCGTTGTATTGAAGCTGGCCGTCCCACTGGCGTCCGCCTCTGGCCCCACGGGGAGAGGGGGAGAAGGAAGAGTACTGGCATCCTCAAGCTCCAACTACGGGAGGTAAAGTGGAAAGTGGGGATGAAGTGATCAGATGCTCTTTTTGCATCCATATGGGTTGGTTGATGGTGATTGTTTTGTTTGTTCTTTTTATATCGGTAGACCCCCTGGCCCTGGCTGGGTAGACAGGTCGACTGTTTCCTGTTGATGATCCAAAGCCATTGGGGCAGGGCATCTCCATAACCGAACGGATTTGCTTGAGGAACGAGAAGAAACCAATGATCCCCAGATGGGGATGAAAACCCATGGGGAAATAACCACTTACCCTAAGGACCATACCACGTATACACACCCATATAGGACCATACCACCCATATAGGACTACACACCACATAGGACCACCCAGAATATTACGTCATACACACCCACATATAGGACCCCGAAGGACTCCCCACGAACGATGGGAGAACTCTCCGTCGTGAAGCGAAGGCGGTCACCATGTGCCAACGAGATTTGAGTTTTCACTCATCACCTTGACAGAAGAAAAGGGACTCAAAAACACAAACTCCACATTGGCAAAACAACACATGTCATCATGTCAACGTTCATCAATCTTCTGGTTGAACAATGGAATCCCTGGATTGCATTCCCAAAATAGAAGGATGATGCCGGACGGCAGCATCGAATAACGGCTAAGATTGCGACGAGTCCGTTTCTTTCACACAACTGCACATATCCCTCAGTGGTCAGTGGTCTGAAGCTCTGCAAGACACCTCCAGGCTGTGGTGTTGTTGAGCCAAGCCAGAAACACAACCAGCGTGTGAAATAAGAAACACACAACAAACACCTTCCATCTTCTTCCTATGTCCATCACTATGTCCAGGGCCTGTCCATTATATCTCTCAAACCTCTCTCCCAACCGTAAACCGTGCGTGCACCGGTCTCACCCTGCATTGATCGAAGCGTGCCTGCACAGCAGCATGCTGTTTGGCGCTGGCAGTGGCCGCCACCGTTGCACTGGCCTTCTCCGTCGACGTGCCAATGACCTGGCCGCGGAGGATGAGCAGGGCTTGAGACATGGAAACCAGCAAAATCAAGTAAAAGTCACCTAAAGTCATTCAATCTGGTTAAAATACCCCCTGAACTTCAGAACACTTCAAACTTTACAGTTGCGTATAGCATCGTACATATGCTTCTCTGGATTCCAAGCCTGCTCCAACTCCTGCCCCGGTCCCTATGTCCCTGGATTATAAGTAACTACGCCGCTACGCCCTCCACCTTCAACTCGACAACGCTCTCCACACCTCGACGACCTTGTAAATCCGACCTTCGATGATCTTGGTGACCTCGAAACTCCAAGATCTTGGAGATGAAGATGAAGATGATCCAAAAGAATCGAAGAAGGAGGTTGATCCAGAAGAATCAACTCCCAAAAAAGAATTCTGTTTGGAGGTTGATTCTTCCCAATACATATTATAACTATACATTCCAGAAGAAACAACAGAATCAACCTCCAAACTACTAACATCTACCAACAAACTTGTGTATGGAAGATCTCTGCCTCTCAATTTCCACATATATGTTTTATGCCGATGATCACGACGTTCCGAACGCCATCCGCTCGGTTCATCCTTCAGCCCGCTCGGTGCGTGGCGGAATCCTTCGCGGTGAACTCGGGCACCAGGACCTGGCGATGTGCGCTCAGCCCGTCGTTTTTTGGTAGAAAAGGGGCACATAGATTTTGGGTGGTTGGTGGTTGATAATGATCATGTGTTCTGTATGCTGATGGCTGATGTGTTTGAGAGGGTAGCACTACTCCCAGCATTTTGAGGTATATTCACAGTTTGATCATATTACATGGTACCTGGAGCACTTAATGAGTGTGTAATGGAATATCTTGGACACCCATGGACGGTCCTGGTATGTGGGTTCTTCTAACCAGCTCGTGGAGGAACACCATTGAATAAGGAACCCGGCAATCTGCAGCACAGAAGAAGACTATGCCAATGCAAGAACGAAGAAATCCTTCTAGAATGTTCCTGAATTTTCCCAATCCATGCCACTTGAAGTTCTGAACCTGGCATGGGTGGCTCTCTGCACTGAAAACAACCAAGTACAGGCAGGATATACCTCGCCATAGAATAAACGTCCGCGGTTCGCGCATCCGTTGACTGCATCTAAGTGGATGATAGTGGATGGCACGGCACACGCCTCATTCCGGGGTGGACCCTTAGGTGTCCAACTCGACCCGAAGAACGACCATGCCATGGGCCCGAAGAACGACTTCGCCCGCATCGTGGCGGCGGAAGGAGACACCGTGAACAGCAGAATCCTCGGGGCCCACTTGTGTGGGCCCACAGAATCAAACAATCCAAACAGGACAGAGACAGGACAGGACTCCCTCCGCTTGTCTGACTCAGAATAGTTGTTCTGATACCTTCCCTTCAGTAGTGGGCCATTCCGTTCTTGTTCCCTCTGACTTTTTGGCAGGTGGTCAACTGCTTGTCCTCCCGAAACCCTCTATTTCGTCTTCACGTCAGAGAGACCCGACTAAACATGTATTGGAAACCCGTTCTATCTATTTCGGCAAACGATCTGTATATCGAAACGGCCCAACTGCCCGGCCTCGACACTGACGCACATCTTGGGTTCCTGCCGTCCAAAGGGCACCAGGCGTCCCCGATCTTCCTGCCGCCGTGGCGGTGACCCTTGGCGGTGACCGTTCTAGAGAATGGGTGGCGGGAAGGGAGGTGAGAGTCGTGATACGCTACTGGTCGACCTTGGACGTGGTGTGCGGTCACTGGTCACTGGATACGCTACTTGCATGGTCACTGGTCACCACTCTGTGTTGCCTTTCTAAGAAGCTGCTTGACGTTCCAACATCTGGTTGAGGGGAATCATTGGACACCAAAAAGCGGACAAAGACGCAGGTATTGCCAAACGAGGCTGGGTATGGCTTGATGGTCGAAGCTGAACTTCGCGACGCCTAGAATCTTAGATGGCTGGATGGTCAGGACGTCCCTTTTTGCAGTTTCCTGTCGTACCCTCCCTCCAACAATCATGGAAGTGAACGGCATGGCCCCTGGGAAGACTAATTAATTGGTTTTTCTACAAACAAGAGTTGTCCACTTCCACGTTTGTTTTGGGGAGGGTATCTATAGAAAAAACTTGTATACAACTGGCGTCTCTTCCAGATTTGATGTTCGTTTCGGGAGCGTAGAGCTTCGGATTTAGGGATAGAGCTTCGTCGTATTCCTTCGCCACTTCCAAACGAAAAACATATACCTTCCTCCAACAATGGCGAGCATTCCTATAGGAGTCGGATGAAGATTTCAGGAGTCAGTCGGATGAGCTTCGTTATAACAAAGCCTACAAAAGGCCAGCAAGATCCCGGGATCCCGGCGTCTTAAACCGAGAGAGGTGACTTGAGAATAAGACATACTTCAAGCAGTGGAACTGATTGGTGTATCTTCCCCAATTTCTTCTTATATCTATATCTGGTTGTTAAACAAACACACACACACACATACATACACTAACATGCACATATTCTCCAGCCATTGATCAGCAAACTGGGTTTATTCACCTGAAACATCATGAAACGAAAGCCACATCTGCCTGTGCTTCAGCCCATCCAGATCATCCGACGTCTCCATTTGAACTCACCAGCATCACTTGTCTACCCCAGCAGCCAAACGCCATGCCCGCCACCCGAAGACACCCGAGCCTTCCCCAAAGCCTTCACGGAACCCACATCGGGCACTTTGCCACCCCAGGCCTCGGTAGCGCAGGATGTGGGGCAGGAGGTGTCTGGTTTAGCCCAAAGAACTCCTGCAAAGCTCGGGAAAATCCATGTATTTAGTTCCACTTATTGTTATATATAGATAGTATCCAAATGCCACCCTGAAGCTTCCATTCAGTCCAAGGTGACCTTCTATTCGTCAGAAGTGTCTGGGAAGAGATCTGCTAGATCTGTGGCCAAGAACTCCCAGCAAACCGTTTCTATGTTTGTGGTGATTCTGTAGGCCTATGATTCGTAGAACGCTTCAAAGAGGTTGGGACCGTGGAACCCGGGGTCTTTGCATCTTCCCTCTTCCCCTTCTTCCCTTCAACACCTCAGCAGGTGCTCTGCAGCACTGGCCTCAAACATGTCAGTAAAGATCTTCATGGCGGTCTTCTCCGCCTTGGAACCAGGCCCAGCGCGGTGCAACAAAACTAAAAGCCCCGCGCACATGTCCAACGTGGGGTTTCTTGACGACAATGTGCGTTTTAGGCGTTTTGCATGGCTTTTGATGGCCTTGTGCTGTTTTGTGGGCGTTTGTGGTAAGCAAATGATGCGAAGGAAGGACACACTGTAGCAAAACATAGCTCTCATGACGGATCATCGGATCTTCTCCATCTCACATGGTCGGTCAACACGCCCTCTGCCAAGCGACAGCTAGCAGTTGGTGAATAGACCATATGTCCACTCCATGGGACTGGAAGGTCGACTCCATGGGACTGGAAGGTCTCCATGGGGAAGAGTCCCATATCCAGACCATCGGACTGGAAGGTCCACGTGCGGCCCCACGGACCCCATCCAACCATCCAACTCCAATATGACCCATCCAACTCTGCCAGTCCGGATGGTCTGGGCTGATCCTCGGTGCCCTCCAACCGCTCTCGGCGGCGCTCTCGGCGAAGGTTTCCATCCACCGGGCGTCGTTCGCAGCAAGGGGTTCCAACATTTGACACACCTTTCGTTCGTGTGTAAACTTACGTTCAAAATGATTCAAATACGGAGAGAATGTGGACAGCAAAGAAGTCCCCCCTGAGTCCATTCCCTATTAGCCTGAAATAAGTGAGGGACCTGCCTTCGATCTTTTCACTTGAAATCTGATCCAGAACTCGAACAGAAAACACATGGAAAACACCTTCAGGACCACCGATGGTGTTGTCCACCGCCACCAACACTGTCTGACTGCCTCCTTGATTTAGTAGACCATATTTCAAGATCATATCCCTTTTTGGGGGCTTCTCGCCCATATCCTTAGAAGGTATACAGCTGGGTATAGGAACAAACAGCGCAAACAGTGGCAAACAGCCCACAGACCCACCCCCAGCACCTATCCTCAGAAGGTAGGCCAGGAGCCCCAACGGGGTATAAACTAAGATTCCCAAAACCCAGCTCAATGGGCTGCCGGCACCCGGTTCTGGTCGGACCTCTTCTCCCGTGGCACCCCACCCCACCCGCCTCCTTGCCGTGTTGACTCGTGAGGGTCCTAGGAGAAGCGAAGAACCGAGCCCGGCACGTCCCGGTGCCGAGCTCTGTCGCTTCGGGCTTCGGGCTGTCGGCCAAGGCTGTTTTTGGCCTGCGGAGTCCTCCAGAGGCCAAGTGTTCATTCACAGGTTGCTTTCGATCTCGTGTGGTTGCCATGTTGAGGAACGCGCAAAGTAGAGTCTCAGCAGAGCACAACTAGATCAACTAAATAGAGTAAAGTGAGGCTATCACGAATACAAAGATCTTATACTCCCTATAATATATATACAGTACAGCTTGATTGTCCACAGACCGCAAAATGGCAACATTTTGCCAAGTCCATCCAAGGTGTTCTTTTTCTTTTTGGTGTCGAAAGGGGTCTTGGAAATTCCTTGCCGACCAAGGTACTGAAGGTTTCTGCCGCTCTGGTGGGGCTATGACAATGCGGGCCAAATGGGGAATAGTTAGATTTTCGCATCCAATTACAGTCCGACTCGCTGGCATGGAAATGGACATCCCCTATAATGGTCAATGGTCAAATGCGAGGGATCACATTCCACTTCTATGCTAAGCCGGAGTCACGTCCATTGTTTTCTCTGCTTCGACCCTCCACAGCACTTAGGCTCCAAAACGTACTGCAAGCTCCAAAAAGGTCGGCAAGATTATACTACATGTACCAGCAGTTCCAAAGCAATGTTTTTCAGACCCATCCAGTGAGTGGATAATGGGCACCCCGACTTCCTCCATGGATAGCTGCCCTTTGAAACTCGTGGTAGAGAGGTAGTGGATCATGTTCTGCAAGGCCCAAAGACTTCCGTTCTTCCGAGAGGCGGCATCGAACCACCAGGCATCACCATCTTCGTCTGCATTCGCACCTGAGATCAGCATTGTCTCACCACTGCACGAGCTTGTCACCAGGCACCAGGTGCCAGTTGCGCACCTTTGAGGGAACAATTCCCGAGTTCCGGAGTTCAATCTTCAACTTACGAAAGTCCATCGTTTGGTGGGGTCGTCTTTTGGGCTCCTCACCATCCATCCCCCCTAGAGGCCAAGTCGGCCAACGTGTCGAGCCCCGGACGAACTGCCTGCGCACGGACGGAGAGACCGGCGGCACACCCTTAGAGGATCCTCACTCTGAGGATGTTGTTGACATGTTGCGAAGACGCCGACCCTTCCTATTTCTTCATCTCCAGCGAACCTGTTTCGTTCTGCCACACATGTGGTCTATCCAAAGGTGCCTAACTGTGGGGGCATATGCGTAAACATGATAAAGTTCCAGAACAATCGGCGCTGGAAACGCATCACACTTCTGTGCACAAACAACATATGTCGGCTGGGCTTTGCAAGCAAAGTGCCACCTCGATCTTGACCTCGTCTTGCTCCTTGCGAGATGGGTCTGTGAGTCCTTTCCCTTTGCCGCGAGCTGCCTTCCAAATCCACATACATACAGTGGATGGGCCTCGAAAGGAAGAGAATGACATCCTCAAAAAACAGGGGGTGAACTGAACTTCCGTGTTAGTTCCAGCGAGAGTACCTCTTGAGTTGAGTCAGAAAAAAACAAGGTAAACAAAACAGTGCTCGGAGCCGCTGTCAGTCCTGTGGAGACTGCTCATCGACCCTCAGAATGGACACATCCGTGATTGCAGCCACTGACTCATTCCTGCATGTGCTGCGTGCCGAATCCAACGAACAAATGTGGTAGGCAGCGCCCAAGAACATAATAAGCAGCGCCGAAAAAAATTGGAGTCCAATCACGTAGACTCTGGATTGAGTCAATCCCCGCCATAGGAAAGAGGTTGGTCAATCCAATTGGGGTGGGTTTATTCATCAAGAGTCTACATGATCCTGTCACCTTTGCCATAATCCCCAGCTGCATGGAAGTGGCCCCCGATGCTCTTCGATGCTCCTTCGATGCACACCCAGCCCTTACTTCAAGACTGTCAAATGACTCAGGGTGAAACATCCCCTGTGCCAGGGTGAAACATCACCCGGGACGTCTCAGTTTGTACCCATCAACAGCATGCATGTTGCATGCTTGTTCATGTGTCGTCTTGGTCAGTTCCGTTGTATGGGTGTCAAAACCGAACCTCCAAGGTGTCAAGTAACGGATCCAAATTCCTCAAGCCTGTCTACCAAGGTAGCTGCTCTATCTACCAATCTTGTGACATGTGATGAACCACGCCTCTGCTCACTGGCTACAGGGACAGCGTCCGAGTCAATCACCTGCCGGCCACGTGGGCAAGCATGATGGCGTCGACGGTAGACGATGCCTCCATTTATCAGGGGTCTTGGATTGCACACCAACTTGGAGCGATACCATACCCTCCAAACATCCCTCCAAACATCACTTGGAAGTGGAATACAGCCTGCTCCTAGAGGAAAACAGTCTCCTCTCGGGGCGATGTTCTGATGGAGGGAATACCGAAAATAGGTACCTCAGCTAATTGAAAGCTGTTCATCCATACATCAAAAAAAGGGATGGCATGGTCATGCATGGTCACTTGGCACTTAGATGATTTCTGGTTCAAATCTCACACTCCCCGGCTTCTACGTACCGAGAGCGGAACGGCGTGACCACCGGACCACCGGGTCCCATCGCCAAGTGGTTGGAGTTGACATTCCCGGCTCCAAGCACGTCCTCAAAAGGTGGTTAGGGTGGGTGTGAGGGGGTTGTTATAGGTGTCTGTTCCCGAACCTGAGCATATTTTCGAGCACTAGGTCCTAGGGATCATAGAAACAAAAAAAGAAAGCATCCCGGGGGGTGGTATCCTTGAGAAAATAGTGTTGAACAGAACATGTGGGTTTTGTTGGCATTCTTTTCATGGCAAAGACTTTAACAACGCTGGAAAGTGGGCAAGCAGTGATTGGTTTTTCTGTGCGGGGCGTCATCTGCTTCAGGTCACTGACATGCACCGTCTGAACCGTCGATCTCGTTCGCACCGTTCAGGCTACAAACATGAGTGTATGTTTATTGTGAATGGAACATGGATGTAGTATGATTTAGTTGCAAAATGCCTCCTGCCAAATACTGCTAGGCATCTCCCGCACACCTGTAGAGACAATCAGTCTTAATATCCCTCAATTTGTAGGATCCTGATCCAAGTCATTGACCTTGCTTTCAGTGGACGGCATGGCGCCACCATGGACGGCATGTTTGAGGATCCAAAAACACCGCCATCACTGGGACGGTGATGATTGACTCGGATCGATCATGGCTCCCCTATCTAATATATCTGCATCAATGCTACAATGCTACAACAACTCCACCACTGCGATCTGCGGAAGATGGAGAAACTTCATGTTTTTTGTTGATGTTTTTGCGGCTTGACATCTCCACCACTGGTGACGTTTTGCCCTTGACGTCTCCACTGACTCAACCAGGCTCGTCTGCCGACACGTGCTGCCCGCCTTCACCGTGGGCTCCCGTGCCTCAGTCCAGCTCGTTTGAACCCACGTGAAGGCACGCTGTCTCAGAGTCTCCCAGGTGGTTTTCCTACAGCAAATGGCCGCGTCTTTTTCCGCAAAGGGGCTGCGTATACATGTTGAACGATGATGTTCTAATCATGAATGTGTTTGTATTGTTTTGTGTATAAAGAACTATAAAATATTATAGGGCAACTATGTTTACCACCAACCAACCGTGTCCGTGTCAAACCGTGTCAAAGCTTTCCAACACTCAGCATCCTGACCACACCGTCCTCAGTGCCTGGCCAGGAACCTTGCTTGGTGTCGGTGGCTGGCCCCCGTCACAGGGACCAACTGCGTCACCAAAGTGGCCTCGGTGCCCGAGGAGTTCGACCGAAGTAGGAAGCGACATTGACCCTGGGAGTCCAAGCGGCATTGACCCTGCACGTCGCAAGGATGACACGTGCATCATGAAACAGACTCGAAAGCCGTTGTCATACGAAAAAGGCGACAGAGCAACCAGATTTGAATGGTCTGAATCAACTCTGTATCCCAATCTTTTGTATAACCCAGCTGGCAAAACCAATCATCAGTTCTGGAGACTCAATCTCCACCACAACATCTGACCCCAAACCACCAACCACCGTCCACCGACCTGAATCCTCGCCCACCCTGGAAACATCGGAGTCCCTTCCATTTGGGGCGGGGGGTTCATACGCACCTGGGCACCTGGTCCGGAGCCTCCGGGTCCATGGACGGACCTTGCCCCAGAGGCTCAGGCTGAAAGCCAAGCCGCTCCCCTCCCTCGCTTCTCTTAAGGCCATGGCCAGAAGGACCAGAAGTGGCAGCATGACGCCGCTCCTCTTCTCGTCACCTATCAGGACGCCGCTCCGCTACTCTTGCTCCGACGAAAAGGAGTCGATAGACCTGGAATCGAAGGAAGGGTTGGTCCTGCATGGGACAGAAGCTGAATTCTTCAAAAGACTTAACATGAGAAGAAAACAGGAAACATGCAGCAAACCCAACACAAGCAAAACCAGGTGGTGTGCAACAGGTACAGGAAGAACATACTCTCCTCCATTGTTCATTCCAAGATCCCAATGGCAGGCCCCACAGGTTCTGACTTTTCTGCATCAATTCAGTGGTTCCTATCAAGCATGGTGCCATAGTAACTCCAACGAATCTACATACACTCAAGGTGAGCAAGGAGACACTTATTTATGTAGGCTCGGAAAAAAAAGAGAGTCCAGTCGTACCGAACCTGAGAAGGTATGTGGAGCAAACAGACTTGTAGAACCCCGGGACAGCCCACGTTCATCACTCTTCGTTCCACGTTCATCAGGTCCATCCCTTTGTACCACGCGTTAGCCGCGTTAACCGACACTCGTCCAAAAAGCATATGACAGCACAACATTCAGCCGAATCCAAGAAGCTTCTGATCTGGCGACCTGCTGAGAGGCTATCTATAATACTAAGAATAGATCCTTCCAACAGGTCCTTCAGATCTGTTGGAAGCTTCTGATCTGGGTATAGCTAAGAATAGACCCTTCCAACATCTATACCCCTCCCACCATCGACCTGCTTCACCAACGGATCCGCGGATCCACCCGCTTCGGCCTCTGGGCCCGTCTTCGTTAACGAACGGGACCACTGAATGGGCTCGAGCCACGGCGCAGGGCAGGCACCACGTCGCTCGATTGCGGAGCTTACGGATGTCCGACCTCGGGAAGAATAGAGGGTGTCAAGTGGTACGTATATATGACGCCTATTGGTTGTAGACATCTTGTACACTTTCCCCTCTATGAATCAACCAATCAATAGTTCAAACCCATCCATGCTTGGGAGACCCTGGGACTGCTGTGAAGAGTGGAGTATCGATTTCAGTGAAACGGTGCAGTTCGGCGAGCCACGGGCCTCTCTGTAAAGTAGTGGGTCAAGAGTAGGAAGTAATTAGTGGTTGAAGCTTGCGAGGCAACATGTTAAACCTCAATCTTCCTTTGTCACTGCCACAACCGGATCCAAACCAACGCACTTTTCGCAGGAAGGATCGGGTGGTCAAGAGGGGGCACCTTTGCCTTGTTCTTGGCGCGTAACGCGGCCACGGCTCCGGCCAACTCGTGGTACTCCTGGCGAGCACGGTGAGAGTTGGAACACACCCTCCAGACACGGACGTCTGGATGTCCGGGGAGGACTTGGATCGGACCGGATCGCAACAAGACGTGTGTCGACATCAGATGATGGGCTCTTTTATGTCTTGGCGGCCGTGGTTGATCATGATGGTCTCCGGTTTTCACCTGACAAGGACAAAGAAAGTATCACAGGTTTCAATCGGCTAGTGACCATACAAGTGTACTGCGAACAGGACACACAAAGTCTAAGCATGACTCGACTAAGCTATTCTTTTCGAATCGTTGAAGCACATCTTTCAAAAGCAGCGAATGTCTTGGGCTTCAATGCATCCTCCTTTGAACTGGTCCCTAACTGCTGCGCCACTGAACACAAAAAACATCAGCTCCTGATGGAACAAACTCCTTTGCAACAAACAAAACAGGGCAGATCATCACTTGCCTATCCTTAGTTCTTCTGGTACTAGGGGTTTAACCGTGTGAGGGTTTGTTCATAAAACCCTCATAAACCAAAGGGGCTAAGGCAAAGCGTCTCAAGATGATTGATAGATCCAAGTTGACCTGTCGAGTGGCTCGTCTAAACTCACACACAGACGCACACTCTCTTGAGGATTCCATCTTTGCAGGTTGAAGCCCCAGGTCAGTGCGCTTACAGTGGTTTCAGAGTAGATGGCACAACCCTAAGTTTGGTGGTTTATATAGGCCCATTCTAAAGGACCTCTCGGGGGCCCCGTGCCATCTACTCTGAAACCACTGTATATCTTTGGCCTCATTCGGCATTCCGTCGACTGGCGAGGATTGGGACGTCTCCACAGCCATCCCACAGCCACGTGAACTCTCCACTCCTGCAAAAGCCACTGCTCACGAGCTTGATTTTCCTGAACGGACGTGTGGTTTCACAGGGCTAAGCGGGATGTCATGGGATGGCCAATTCCGAAACCACACCAGGTGACAGACAGCTGCCAGAAGAAGGTGTCACTTCAATGTCCTTCCGAACCCTTTCGATCCGCACCAGGAACTGGTATGAGCCGGCGGTTTTCCCCGTGTCCAGGTCTCTAGGAAGAGAGTCTTGTTGGCGTGTCAAGAACAATGAGCCTGAGCCTCTCGTATAGGGTGGTCCAGAAGGCCAATGCAGCATAGCTAAAAAGGTGATCTGAGAGCAGGGCCATAGCCGCTATAGCAGTGTGCTTGTGTGACATTGGAATTGGAACTCACATGAATTTACAAGGCTCGCTGGCATTCAGGGCCTTGCGTGCACATGTGGCCGCAGGGCCGCAGGACCTATGATACTGTACTTTATGTTATGGAGGCTTGGAGGGGTTGTTGGGAGATGTTGGGAGCATCTGGGATCACCCCTTTCAGCTCAGTGTCTAAAGGTCTCTGTCTCCTTCACCTTCACCCCAAGATGGGCTTTCAAGAAATGATCGTTTCCACAGCCGGTGCCGGTCTCAACAAAACATGTGTTTCCAATTATCTTGATGGGACTGCGTACAACAAGCATCAATAAGCGAGGTAGACCAACAAATACAACTGGGTTTTAAGCGAGGTGGACCAACAAATACAACTGGGTTTTAGTGGCGTCTAATTAATATATTGAAAACTCTTGAAAGATCTGTTGGAATTCGCGCTATGAGAACTTGGGACACATTGAGAAAGACGAGATGACTCTCTCAATATATGATGTTATACTATATATATATGTGTGTGTGGGCGAACATACTTAAGTTACTCATGTCCCAAATCATCTCAAATCTACCTGGTTCTCTCGTGTGCCCACACAAGAAATTCAGCGGCTATCCCTGCTCCCTTGCTCAAGAAGGCCGCACGTCTGCTAGTTCAATGATTTTGCAAGGATCTTCTACGCTATTACTTCCAACATATTTTTTTTTATCGGCAAACAGATTTGGTGTAGGAGAGTGGAACATTTGTGGAAACCATTGGCAAATAATAAGATTTGAGTTCGCCCGGAAATTCCCAGTGAGTCTGACTTCGTGATGCTTCCTCCTTCACCTCCCTTTCCTTCGGCCGCCTTCGGGCTGAGAGGCTGCGGCGGCGGAGGTCGTTGCAGGTCTTGCGCATGGAGCGCCTGACGGCAGAGAAGTTGACGACATGCTCTGAAGACTGAGGCTGACTAAGTCTTGGCCTTATGAGGCTAAGACAAAGTTGAGAAAATAAAGACCGGTAGGAGCTCCTTCATATTAATCGTGTAAGGGTAAGGGCCTTCTGGAAAGGCTGACCTGCTCTGCTCTGCCCTCCCCGCCAAAAAGTACATAATATATTTTATACTGATTGTGGGCAGCCCAGGCAGCGAGAAAAATCCCACTTCCTGTGGTCGCCGTGACTTCGTCAGTCCTCTTCCATATAGATGAATTACTTAGAGAAGGTGTGGCACAGCAAAGAAGTCATGACTACTTAGAGAAGGTGTGGCTCCATATAGATTAATTACTTAGTGGCACAACATAGGCAATCATGACTTCTTTGGCTCTAGAAGAACAGCTTCCAGCCGTCCAGACCCCTTGGACTGCTCCCGCGGACTGCTCGGGTTCCTCTCTCCCGGAGGTGTTTAAAACAAGCCTCTTGTACTACTACACTGATCCTGGTTTGTTGGGTCTCAAACGATTTGCATGGTCTGGAAAAACCTTCCAACATCTGCCAAAGGAATTGCTCTCTTGTATCACTCACTCTCTCCCTCTCTCTGTGCACAGCCTGGCCCAGTGAAAGGGAGACATCATTACATAACCTCAGTTACTTGGAGGGTCACAGCGAGTGCGCTTGGAGCCGCCTGGAGTCTAACAATTGCAATTTTAGTCTGGCAAAATAGGAGTCCCTTTGTAAAACCAGTTGTGCCACTTGTGAGATCAATAACTTTACAGGTAAGCTCCGGCAAGTGTGTCGCTATTGGACAAGCAAACCCTCTGTAACTCCCTCAGTTTCCGTTAAATCCCTAGAAAAGAAGCAAAACAAACATGTAGGACAAGCAAGTTCATAAGTTATATAACCGTGGCCAACCTGGCCATCCACTACCTCATGGCTTTAGTAAAGGCGCACCAACTTTTGCCCGCCTTCGCCTCTGGAGATCTGGGCCTGAACTGGATGTGACCAGGGCACCAAAAACTGAAAACATCTGTTTTCAAGTGAACTGATGGACCTGGTGAACTGAACTGATGAACTGATTGATGGGACGGGACCTAAAACGTACACCCCCAATTCTAGATCTGGGGACCTGACTGTTGTTTTTTGGGCCCCTTTTGCGGTGAGGAGATGTGAGGATCGATGTGATTGGGATACATGTCCGGCGACCAAAGAAGAGTTGTGGACATCAGGAACGTCCCAACAAAACAAATTTGTTGATGGAACTTGGATTCCCTCCTAAATTGGGAAAAAAGAAGAACACTCAGGATCAAATCGGAGGATTGCAGCTCCAGAGCATCAACCCTCCATGAACAGAACGAGGAGTAGGATCCACAAAGCAGTTGTAGGGACTCGGTACCCTTTGTAGCAAATCCAAACAAAGCAACAAGCATGCAAGATACCAACTCCCGACCATTGAACCCTTTCTGGATGGTTGTAGGATGTTTTGTAGGCACCCCCAAGTGAACCCCTCAAAAACCATGTGGAAGCATAGATCCTTAGGCCTTGGGTCCGGAGTTCGAAGCAAACACCACTGGCCATTTCACTTCTCGGGTTTTCCACTCCAAGCATGGCCGAGCCGGTGGAGATTTGCGGTTGTTGGTCTTGGCAAAAAACGAAGGCTCCCTCGGATGAAGGAAGAACAAAGAATCGTTCGGTTCTTCGCATCTGCCATGGATGGCGCCAAATCTGCGCCAAGTTCTGCCGGGCTACCATGGGCCATATTCATGGCACAAAGTCATGATACATTGTTACCAATTCTTACATCCTCCTCCATCATCCTCTCAATCTGCAGTCGGAATGGGGAGTAGATAGAATCTGTCCGGGGACGTCGCCACCGAACATTCATCTGAGACGCTCCTCCACCAGGTCTTTCGTGCCTGAGAGGAGAAAAGACTGGGAGATACTGGGATCGAGTGTAAGTTGTCTCCATCCACCAGATAGCATGGAACACCGGCTTTCAAGGATTTGTGGGTGTAGTAACTCACTACAGTGGTTTCAGAGTAGATGGCACAACCCGCAAAAGGTTGGTTCTATGGACCCCCATCTAAAAGACCTCCTCTTTGGGTTTGCCCCTTCTACTCTGACACCACTGTAACTAGAACTTCAACTCACTGACTGGAAGGTAGTTCGGATCGTTTCGGTCGGGTCAGCAAGGTGGACAAAACACACAAAAGCAAAACAGAACCTGTTTTGGAATGCCACCCTAAATAAATATATATATATAACTTAAATACAATGACATTGGTATACATTGGTGCTGTTCTAACTAACTAGGATTTATATCTATATATTAGATTAACCCGGCACTCCCGTGACCTTGTGGCATTACTCCCAGGTTTCGTGGCGACGCACCGGGTCAGCAAAACCAGTTAAACCTCCCTTGTTTCACAAAAACAACACAGTGGACATCCTGGG